TTGACTTGAAACTAGTGACTCTTGGTCATTCACGTTACTTTAATTCAGATTAAAAAAAAGGAACTGCTATTAAGAAAAAGGAAATCTTCTCCTTGCATAATCTCTACTATTGAATCTAATGGCTTGTTTGGAAGATAAGATTTGAGTAGAAAAGAAAAGAATGGAAGAGAAAGGTAGATGTTTCCAATGTTTGGAAGATTTAAAGAAAAGAAAGCAACTGATTTGGAAGGAGAAAAACAGCAGCTACAGTTAAAAAACTTTTCCATCCCAAATTGGGCAGAAAAAGCAAAGGAAAGCCGTGGAGAGCCTGCAAAAAATTTTGAAATTGCCCATTCTATTCTTGAAAAGTTATTGAATGAAATTTTTATTGATCAATATGTCCAAAATCATTTCCTTTCTTTCATAAACTCTCGAACAATATTAAAATCTCTTCTCTTCTTTTCTTATCCTTTCTTTTCTCTCATAACTTAACCTTTCTCTTCTTTTCTTTTCTATCCTCAGCTTCCAAACTAGCTATAAGAGACTACCCAGGAAGGGATGCTATGGTTATTTGACTTTAGTGGTGGATACCCGCCAAATAGATATGAAGTTAGAAAACATACCTGTAGTGAGTGAGTTTCTAGGTATCTTTCTAGAAGACTTACTTGGATTGCCTCCTGACAGAGAAATAGAGTTTACTATCAATTTGTACCAGGTACTGGGTCCATATCTAAAATCCCTTACAGGATGGCTTCAGTGGAGATGAAGGAATTGAAAAAACAATCACAGGAATTTCTAGAAAAGAATGTTATCAGGCTGAGTGTATCACCTTCGGGAGCTCCAGTATTACTTGTAAAGAAAAACAATGGTACTTTACGACTTTCTATTGACTATTGGGAGCTAAATAAGGTGACAGTGAAAACTAAATATCCCTTACCTGGAATTGATGACCTGTTTGATCATCTAATGGGAGGAAAATATTTCACCAAAATTAATCTTTGGTATGGCTATCATTAGCTAAAGATAATAGCTGAGGATATTCGAAAGATGGCATTCAAAACTAGACACAGACATTATGAGTTTGTAGTAATGCCATTTGGGCTTACCAATACTCTAGCTACTTTGATGGACCTAAAAGCAAGATTTTTCAGCCTTATTTGGATACTATGGCATGTGGGTTATTATGAATAGGTTAACAAAATTGGCTTACTCTTTGCCTATTAAACCTAGTATGGGTACCGAGAAGTTGACTAAACTTTACATAGATAAGATCGGGCAACTGCGTGGTATTCCTATCACTATTGTATTTGATAGAGATGCTCAATTTATTTCTCAATTATGGTAAAGTTTACGTGACAGGTGTCAGGCCTGTGCAATAATAAAAATAAACCTAATTGTCAATTAAAATAGCCAAAACCCGATTTCAAGTACTGGAGCAGGGACTTTAGGTGTGCAATGGATTACTTGATTCACCATGTTCCCGAAGAGTTTGCTTGATCCGATATACTCGAATGGGATGGCTTTTACACAAATAATTATTAATTTGTAAACAGGGCAAGTAGGGTCGTATCCTCAGGGACTGGGGGTATAGGTCTCTTTAGAAATTCAAAGTAACACAGGGGATGTTTTTATATAAAGGGTGACAATTAGAACAATTCAACTAAAAAATAAAATAGCCAACTAAAAATTAAATGACAATTCACTAAAATTAGAGTAACAATAATTAAAAGTTTAGTTAAGAAATAACTTCAGCAATGATTCACCTAATTGATCATCGATGCACAAGCAATTCCAATTATTTATTAATAAATAGGTTATAACTGCCAAATAAGTGATGACAGTCAACCTTTCCTTACCGCGTCAGTGATTAAGGTACGCCCGTTAACCACTGCTCTAATTGAGAAATAATCCTAGATACGCCCGTAAGATTTAATTCCCCAATTACCTTACGTATTAGAAGAGCCATATTCTAACCAAATAACGCACTACCAGGGTTATTTTAAATTAGTCCGCGTATTCCCCTGACACAAACCCAATCATACCAATTGTCACTAATTCAAGGCAATTAAATAATTACAGATTTAATGCCCTAATTGATAATAGATTACCAAATTAACTAATTATCCGGATCCAAGACAATCAATTAATTAAATGACCATAAGCACTGCAATCGGAAAATATGCAAATACCAATAAATAAGAGAAAATAATAAAATTAAATCGATCTCACAATTTTAGATGACCCAAAACATCTATTGTTTCTTGACTAGACAAAGGGGTTTAGCTCATTGTTGATGAGAAAAACCCATGCAAAACTGAAGCGATAGTTGCGGCCATTATTTGCGTTTGAGAAAGCCCAATTTGTCCGAACAAATGAAAGGAAAACGAAAGTTAAAGAGAATGATTGAATCTCCTAATTGCTCCTGACATCCGAGGAATGAAAAGAAAACTACTAAGAGCTAAACAAAAAAGAAAAGTCAAAGGCTAAGCCATCAAAGTAGTGCTAGTTCTCTGCGCTGTTTTTTTTTTTTTTTTATCTAATACCTAACTACTCTAATGCTTGGCTCCTGTGTGGCGGCCCCTCCAGCGTAATAGAAAACTTCAGCCTTTTCATCCTTTTTTCCATGCTGTCTTCCGCCAAATAACCAAAAAGGGGTCGCGTCTTGACGTTCCAAAAATGTCCCTGCTACTTGAACTCTTTCTTGATGATTGCCAAATTGGCACTTGTTATGGTATTTTCGTTCTACTCCCTGAAATAAATGCAAATTACCAAAAGTGAGTAGAATCTAACAATTAATCCACATTAGGTCAGGTAATAGGGGAAATTAATAATAAAATAAATGATAAAATTGCAACCTATCAATTCTCTCCACACCTAAACCATGCTTGTCCTCAAGCATGAGAACAACAAACAAGCACCAATATTTGATAATGGTCATTGCTCCATCTACCATATTGCCAAGATACCAAGAAAAACATAAATCAAACATCAGTGATCAATATCCAAGAAACATCACCTCGATTAGCTTCTAAACCACAAACTCCTGCAATTCTAGGTTAACTAATCTAAGAAAAAGGAATGGCACACAACATTTATCAGCAAATGATCCAATTATTAACCAAAATCTCAACATTAAATCCACAAATCGGCAAGTTGACTTTTATCACACACTAACACAACTGTCACTTCTTTTTTTTCGTTATTTATTTATTAATTTTTTTTTCAATAGCACAAAAGACTTAATCTCTAACCATCGGAGCCTTTTGACGCGAACTCCAACATTTGCCAGATGAAGGAGCCCGGTTACTCAACTCCTATCGCTATACGACCATGTACTCATAGAAATTACTATTTTTTGACGCGAGAATCGACACTTTAAGTGAAGATCCCCAGTTACTCAGTATTACAAATAGCGGAGTACAGTCAACTTTATTTCACAGTCAGATAACACAATAGCTCACAATATCACAAAGAAAAAGCAGCTAGCCTCATTTTTTCCAAACATGGAGAACTAAAGTTAATCACTGGACCAATTCACATGAAAATGCCAACAATCATTCTCAGTGCCTAGAAAAGTTAACTAAAAATTAGAAGAGTCAAATAATCACCGATATTCACCAAAGAGATGTTCTTGGGTTCAACCACATTAACTAGATACACTTTTATTATTAAAACTTGGCAATAGTAGAATTAGAGTTAATAACCCAACATTAAATTTTGGTTTTCACATGAGAGCTAAGCACTAAAAAGAATGAAAGAGAATGAATGAAAGATAGACAAATAACTAACTAAAAATAAAGGAAAAAAATAGAAACTAAAAACTAGTAAAACTAGCACCACAACTGATCCCCCCCACACTTAAATGATACATTGCCCTCAATGTAGCAAATAAACATCAAAAGTAGGAGAAAGGGCAACAAAACTTCCCTGAAGTCGAGTCAAAGTGGTGGGTGATAACCAAATTGAGACGTAAGACCCGCATGATGCTTGAATGCTGCCAAATTCTGCGCCATGCTATGCAAGTTAGCATCGATGGTGGTCATCCGATTCTCCAAATTCTGAACCTGCATTCGAAGTTGTTGCCATTCAATAACCCCTAGGGCAGGAGAGAGAGAGAGAGAGAGAGAGAGAGAGAGAGAGAGATTGAGGTAGTGAGGTGCGCAGCGGCGGCACGCGGAGAGGGGAGGACGGCGGCGCTGCAAGCGAGGTGGAATTGGCGGTGGGCAGCAGGCTTCGGTTGAACAAGAGAAGAAACAGGGGAGAAGAAAGAAAGAAAAGAGGAAAAAAGAAAAAGAAAGAAAGAAAGAAAGAAAGAAAAGGAAGAAAAGAAAAGAAAAGACAGAAAAAGAAAAACAAAATAGTTTTTGTTTTTTCATTTTTTTTATTTTAGATTTTTTGTAAATTCTAATTTTGGAAATCAAAAGTTATAGCTAAACAGAAAGTCTTTTTTTTTTATTTAATTTTTTTTTATTTTTTTGAATATTATTATTATGAACAAAACTCATTTTCGAAATTCAAAATTAGAGAGTAACAGGAAATCGAAAACTGTCTTCGAGTTTTGAATACTTACCTTTCTCACGAATGTGACGTGGACACGTCAAAAAGGCAAGAACCCTTCTGACCATGAGCTCTCCATACGACTTGATGCGGGCGCGTCATAAAGGCACGAACCCTTCTGACCGTGAGCTCTCCATGCGACTTGATGTGGGCACGTCAAGTTGGAGAGACACCTACGAATCATCAAAAATGAAAATTGAAGCCAAAAATCAGTCACACTCAAGGAAAACATAATTAAACTATTGAACAAAACCTGAACAAACAACTAAAAGAAGTTGAGTTGCCTCCCAATAAGCACATTTCTTTAACGTTTTTGGCTAGACGTTAAACACCACTCTTCAATTTGGATGTAATTCAATTTTCCTTGTAATCAGTGGCTCTTCTCCGGGATCCAAATAGTCATTGAGTGCAGCCTTCTTTCTTAGTTTTCTATTCCTTTTCACCTTATAAATTGCTTTCATCCCCTAATACTTGTTCGCAACAATTTTGAATTTATCCCTACAAGCAAATTCAGAAAATTCTTGCACAAAGGGATTAATAGCATGAATAGCAAACACAGAGTGAGAGTTAACAGGATGTTCCATTGTATCAAAAATATTAAAATTGACTATTTTTTCATCAAATTCTATGGACAAGGTGCCCTTATTAACATCAAGTTTTGTCTGTGCTGTGCTAAAAAAAGGTCTACCTAGTAGCAAAGGTGAGGGGTCAGGGGAATGATCATCATCCACGTCAAGTACATAAAAGTCAGTTGAGAATACCAAATCATTAATTTTGACCAACACATCGTCAACCAATTCATCAGGGTATGCATTGGTTCGATCAGCTAACTGAATTATTAATCCAATTTCTTTTAATGGACCTAGGTTCAGAGAAGTATAGATAGATTTAGGCATTATATTAATCGATGCCCCTAAATTCAGCATGGCCTTCCTAATCAAAGTGTTACCTATCGTACAGGGGATAGTGAACATATCTGGATCCCCACATTTCGGTAGGAGTTTTCTTTGTAGAACCGCTGACACATTCTCCCCCACGATGACCCTTTCATCTCCCCCTAGCCTTCTTTGGTTGACGCACAAATCTCTCAAAAATTTTGCATACTTTGGCACTTGTTTGATTGCGTCTAGCAGGGGGATATTGATCTCTACCTTGTGAAGCACCTCCAGGATCTCTTTCTCATTGTCCTGCTTCTTCGATTTCTCCAACCTGCTAGGAAATGGAGAGGGATGAGTTTTAACGTCTATGATCGGATCAGGGAGTACCACTGGATTTTATGTGCTTGTGTTCTCTGCCTCAAGCTCTTTCTCAATCTTCTCTTTGTCTTTGTCCTTTGGAGTCACGAGTTCGGACCCCTGAATTTTCTTCCCGTTCCTTAAGGTCATTGCACTTACATTCTTCAGGTTCAACTCAAGTTGAGACGGTAATTTTTCATAAACTTGGGATTCTAGGCGGTTAATTGCCACTGCCATCTGACTCATTTGACTTTGCATTTCTTGTATCTGGCCCAATTGATTTCTCATACTTTGTAGGTCAGAATCTGTCTTTTGTTGATTAGCAATTAATTATTTCATCACCTCTTCCATAGACAGACTTGAGTTTGAAGGGAGTGGTGGCGGGCGAGGTTGGTACTGTTGTTGGTATCCTTGCTGCCTATTTAGTGCAAAATTCGACTGCCTATTTCCTCCATAGCTGAAGTTAGAATGATCTCTCCAACCCGGATTGTACGTATTCGAGTATGGGTCGTATGGCTGTCTTGGCGCGGGCGCGTGACCAGTCATGTTCACTTGCTCCACACTCTCCCCTTGAATCAGTGGGCACATCTCTGTAGAATGACCCATACCAGTACAAATCCCACACACCTTGGCCTGAGATGCATTTCCTACAGCTAGTTGCCTAATAAACGATGTTCCACTTCTGAGCAAATGCGAATTGTCAAAAGTGAGTAGAATCTAACAATTAATCCACATCGGATCAGGTAATAGGGGAAATTAATAATAAAATAAATGATAAAATTACAACGTATCATTACATAAAGCCTTGGGAATTGGGTTAAATTTTAGTACTCCCTCCGTCCCATTTTGTTAGTCTTGATTTTTTTTTTCACACAGATTAAGAAAGTGTAATTAATTTGGTTGGAAACATAAATTTAGATTAATAATTTCCTAAAATACCCTTATGCTAATCACGAAGAGTACCAATTAATATCAGTTACAGCTAATGGGTTAGTATTGGAAAAGCTCAATGTATTTAATGTAGTGGGTTAGTATTTAATAACAATGTATTAATAACAAGATATTTAATAAGAGTATTTTAGACAATTTGAAAGATTACTACATTTCTTAATGGGAAAGTGGACTACAATTTGAGACAGACGAAAAAGGAAAACAAGACTAACTAAGTGGGACGGAGGGAGTATAACTTTTCATCCCCAAACCGATGGTCAATCGGAAAGGACCATCTAGATTTTAGAAGACGTGCTTTGAGCTTGGACGCTGGATTGCAATGGAGCTTGGGATGAACACCTGTCACTGGTTGAATTTTCTTATAACAATAGCTGTAAGACAAGTATTCAAATGGCTCCATGTGAAGCTTTGTATAGGAGGAAGTGTAGGACTCCTTTGTGCTGGCTTGATGTAGGAGAGGAAAGACTCATAGGGCCTGATATTGTACAGTAAATGGTAGAAAAAGTAAGGTTGATTCAGGAAATACTTCAAGTTGCTCAAAGTAGACAGAAAGGCTATGCTGATAATAGGAGGCATGGCTTAGAGTTGGAGTTGATGATCATGTTTTCCTAATTGTAAAGGTATAATGAGGTTTGACGTTAAAGGAAAACTGAGTCCTAGGTACGTGGGACCGCTTGAGATTTTAGACAGGGTTGGTGAGGTAGCTTATCGACTGGCTTTACCGTCGCCATTGGTAGGAGTACATAATGTTTTTCATGTTTCGATATTGGGGAAATATGTTCAAGACCCCAGCCACTTGATTGAGTACGCACCGCATCAGTTAAGCAAGGAGTTGAGTTATAAAAATTGTGGATACAAAGGATCAAATGTTAAGATATCGTACAATTCCTTATGTCAAAGTGCAGTGGAGTAATCATTTAGGATGAGAAGCTACTTGAGAGCTTGAGGAGGAAATGAGGTAGAAATATGCTCAACTATATGATGATCAAGGCACGTGAAGTTTAAAGGACTAAACTTCTTATATATAATATCCATAGTGGGCTAATTAGCTACTAATATTAAGTTTGTGTACTTATTTTAGTAAGAGTAGACCTTAGGGATGTAAAGTTAATTTAAGAAGTGACCTATTACGTTAGTCGTTAAATTAAAAGGGTTAACATAAAACCTGGAGTTTATTAAGTTATTTCCCTATTGGGTTAGTTCCAGAGAATGATCAAGAAGTACATCAAGGGAGAGGGATTGAGGAAACCAAAGCTGTGAAATTTGGATTGCCAATTGAATTGGCGAGATGTTCGAATTGCGGTTCAATCAGTTGGACTGATTCAACCCTGGGTCAATAAATTTTTTTAAAAATAAATTATATAAATATATGTGCATAGAATATGACATCCAAATAATTAATTTAAGACTTTATTTGATAAAAAGTTTAATATTTTTGATGAACTTGAACTTTCACAAATAAATTTTTTAAATTATAAGTGCAAACAAATAAATTTTATTTCAATTGTATCTACCAAAAAAAATCTTATATCCTACCTAAAAACACCACAATATTCTGAAATTAAACAAAATTCATGCCTTTAGGAATTAGACATAAGTGAGTTTAAACTTTAAATCATGTCTTTTGGAATTATAGATTGCAACTTTGTCAAAAAAAAAGGAAACTTGGAACTTGAAGGAAGTCAAGAAACTAGAAAGTAGAGATGAAATTTTGATAAGAGGCAAAATGTGATAAGAAAGTGCGTGGGTGTAGCATTTAATGATTAGTCTTTAGCGTTATGGAGAACCTATATATTTTTTCCAGTTTAATAGATAAAAACAAAAACCGTTGGTTCAATGGTTCATTCTGGTTTAAATGGTTTGTATGGCTCTCATCAGTCCTTAAGTCCAATCAAACCAAAATATTAACCGGATTGGAGTCATGGCCGATTCACAGATTGACCAGTTGAACTGGCTGATCCAACTCGAGTTTGAAAACAATGGAGGAAACTACATCATCATAGGAGAAACAACTTAATTCAAGGTTGTTTGATGTAAGTTCTCATATTTACTCCAGATTTTTCTTTTTGAACAGAAATAATTAAGGGGAAAACGTTAAGAAAACCTAGGGCTTCAGGTTAGCAGATTGTGGATAGTTTTTATGGAGTTTTCTTTCACGGTGGTTTTCAATTTTCTATCCATACATTGATGTATCAAAGACATCAAATTGCATGTGGTATGCGTGACCTCGATTGCGGGAAACCTTTGCATGATCGTTTGGGAGAAACCCAAGGATTGTATAATTTATGAATGGTCTAATATTATTAGGGATAGCAACGGGCCGGGGTTGGGGCGGGGGACCCCTCCCCCATCCCCCGCCCCCGCCCCGTCCCCCGCCTCCCACTCCCCCCGCCCCGCCTCCGCCCCGTCCCGCCCTGCTTCCTCCGCGGGGGTACCTGCGGGGTTAATAAAATTTTTCCCGCTAGGTTAATAAAATTTTATTATAGTTAAATTTTAATAAATAATCAAGTACTAAAATATCAACACATCATCAAGTTATTATTCATTTTAATTTTACAATTGAAACTCATAAAAACAATCAAACAAAAAATATTTGAATACAATCCAACGTGATGAAATAAATACAACTAAAATAGTTAAATTTTCACTTTTGGTACAAATACAATCACTAATTCATTATTGTGTTTGTGCTTTTTTTTTTTTAGAAAAAAGTGTTATTCTATTAAGTATAATTAGAAATTTAGTATAATGTATTAGTAAATTTAGTATAACTAATTAATAAATTCTATTAGTAGACATGTCTAATTATTTGTATAATTGATAATATTAATTATATTACATACACTAATATATATTATATAATACATCTAACAAATAATATCATTATCATAAGTTTATAACTAATTAAATTACATATTATATATAATTATATATATATATTTTTTTTTGCGGGTGGCGGGGTGGGAGATGGGGCGGGGGTATACTCCCCCGCTCCATGCCCCGCCCCAACCCCCGCCCCGAGAGCCCCCGCGGGCACCCGCCCCCGTTGCCATCCCTAAATATTATATTCTTCCATGCAAAGTTAGTAACGACCTTTATTGGTTTAACCAAAGTTGATCAGTAGCACTTCCAATGTTGGAAACGAAATATTATTCGCTTAGATTACTGATATAATTGGCCTGATCTTTTCATCTTTGTCAGTAACAGAATAGCTAGGAAAAAAATGGTGGAAGCTGATGATTAGTAATTTTCTAGGATTGAATATTATTAGTCGCAACAGTTTAAGCATTGCCCATAAATATGTAGGACCTTTGTAGAGCTTGTGAGTGAAACTCGCACACTAGAACAGCTTACGTGAACTCATAGTTTAGGCTATATCATAATTCATTGACTTTAGTGTACTTTAGATTTTTTTCTTAGGGATCCGTCGTAGGGACATTTGATTTTCAAGATCTTGGGACTATTAAGCATCAAAGAATAAGGTAAGTGGTTTTTTACCTAACCAGTGTTTTCGACAAGAAAAAAATTATAGATTATTTATTCTGGTAAAAAAATGCTTCATTTTATTTGTTTTGAGTTGAAATTTGATAAAGTTATCAAGTATATGTTATTCCTAGTATGACATGGATATTTAAAGAATTCGGATCAAACAAATGGTGTGACTATTTGTTTTGAAATTGTTTGGTTTATACTGGTAAATGAGAAAATTGTGTTATTTACTCAGTTAATTATGAAAATTCTTGGTGTGTATGGCTGTGTAATTGAGTTGGTACCATTTTAGAATTGGTATTGCGGTAGTGACCGTTCTTATTGGGATTAAGTCTGGGACATTACCTATTGGCCAGAGAGGTAGGTGAAGTCTGGTCTGGCACTAAGGATGGCAATGGGGCGGAGTTGGAGCGAGGATGGGGGAGCCTACGAATTCCCCCCACCCCCTCTCCCAGCTCCCCCCGGCCTGTCCCCACCCTACCCCGCTTTCTCCGCGGGACTAATAAAAATTTGTTATATAATTTTATTATAGTTAAGTTTTAACAAATAATCAAGTACTAAAATATCAACACATCACCATATTATTATTCATTGTAATTTCACAATTGAACCTTATAAAATCAATCAAATAAAAGTTATTTGAATACAATTCAACATGATAAAATAAATACAACTAAAGTAATCAAGTTTTCACTTTTAGTACAAATACAATCATTAATTCATTATTGTGCTTGTGTTTTTTTTTGAGAAAAAAATATTATTGTATTAAGTGTAATTAGGGATTTAGTATAAATGTATTAATAAATTTGGTATAACCAATTAATAATTTGTATTAGTACTCATATATAATTATTAGTATAATTGATAATATCAATTATATTACATATACTAATATACATTATATAATACATATAACTAATAATATCATTATCATAAATTTGTAACTAATTAAATTATATATTATATATAGTTATATACATATATATTTTATATATTTATTTTTTTAAAGCGGGTGGCGGTACCCCCGCCCCGTTTCTAAGCGGGGGGGAAAAAAGTTCCCGTCGCCCCATTAGCCCCCCGCTGGGCGGTGGCCGGGCCGCCCTTATCTGGCACCCAAGTCGGAGGGGTTATGTCTGACCCGACAACCTAGTTTACTGTATGTCATATTTTGTGTCTGTTTGGTGATTGTATTTATTTGATATGCGGCTTGTTAGTAAACCATGATTTTAGTTGCACTATGCC